AAAACTATACAACGAACATCCACTTATTCACACAAAACAGCTTCATCACAATCATTTCAGCTTTATTTTAAATGTAGATGTCATTGTTTTACCTGTCAAGCTTATTCTATGAATATTTAAAATAAATATTATTGAAAGTTACTTCTCAGTTATTTTTGGACTTATTTTACTGAGGCATTTGCACCAGACACTAGATGAATATACTTGGTAAGATGTTGTGTTTTTGCAGTGTATTCACCGGCCAGAATCTGCTGAAAACGGCTTCAATTTCCCTACTGGGCCAGAAGTTTACATACGGCATGCTCATCCTGGGCTGGCGTTTGGTTTCCAGACAAACAAGATTTACATTCACAGTTTGGAGTTTTAATTTTCTTTAAAACGCACATTTTCTCTGAAATGTTTTGTTGGCATCGGCAACCTTCTGGTTCAGTTATTGGTTGGATGTTTGAGCAGAGTCCTTAAATGTTGAGATAATTCAGGAACCAGAAACGGCCAAGGCTCAACTCTTCTGATTAAATCAGGGATGTCCAAAGTGTGGCCCGAGGGCCGTTCTTGGCCCTTCAAATGATTTTGTTCGGCCTGATGTCAAGTCAAAAACAGCCAATAAAATAAAAAACAATTGGAAATCTTTTTTTTTTTTTTATAAAAAAGTCCAAAGCATTTTTTATGTTTCGGAGCTTCAGTGCACTGTAAAAATACAAAACCTTGCCACATATTGTCTAGTTGTAAGTGAAATAATATTCAGTGGAGCTAGAACCTTTTTTTTAATCAGTACTAATGAATTATTTACTTAAAACAAGCTGATATATCTTTCTGAAAATTTACTTCTAAGTAAATACACTTGAAATAAGGAAACTAAGATGTTTTTGCAGTGCAATAAACAGATTTCATAAATATTTTGTTTTTTGAGGAGGAAAAATAAAACCAAAAGTCACACTGAACTTCTTTTTGCTTTTCTTGTTTTATTAATTTTGTGGCTATTTTAAATTTGCCAGTTTTGCCCCTGGGGCAAAAGGTTTGGACACCGTTGGGTTAACTGGAAGAATCAGAGGGAAATCAGTAAACTTTTCAGCCGTTCTGCGTTAAAGAGAAGTGTGTGTGTATTTGTGACTCTGTGGATTAAATTGAAATGTTTGCATCAGACTCTTGTGTTTAAAAATGGCCGCCAGTGCGAGCCGAACACATCAGCATGAAAACTGTTGATATTCATAAACATCCTGCTTCCTTCTGCGACTCGCTGTGCAGGAAATGCAGTTTGATGGTTTTAAATGTGCAGCATCAACATTAATCTTTCTCTGTATATTGATTGTGGGTTATGGTTGTATATTTGACTTTTAGTGTTTTAAAATATTTATTTTTCTAATCTTTATTATGTGTATTCAGTGTAGGTTTATTTAAATGAATAAAATGTTCAAATTGTTTTTTTGATGAGTTATGATTTATTTCTACATTACAGACATAAGTTTTACATACAAAGAACAGTTTTTCTCCTAACCAGGCTAAATGAACTAATTTTACTAAGTTTGTTAATTTTGAAAATGTATATAAAAATAAAAAAGCACATCCCAAAAATTATACCTAAAATCAATTCCTGGTACTTTTTAGTTTCATGCTGTAGTGGAAACTAAATCTATTTATTCCCTGAAAATGACTGAAACCTGAATTTATTCATTATATTTAGAAACATTTTGGTTCTAATTTTCAGCCAGTTAAGAACTATTTTCCTCATCAGTCCAGCTAAATAAAACTAATTTAGATCATTAATGTCATCTGACCTGAAATGTATGTCATCCTTTTTAAATAATACATTTTTAGCAAAAACATCCATGAAATGTCAATTAGTGAAAATAACACAAAGAGAAAAAAACAGATTCCAACCAGGTGACAAGCAACTTTTATCTAAAAACTATTTCTGGTATTTTAATTTACATTCAAAAGTATTTTATTGATCTCAAAAGGAAATTAAATCCCATTCTAGTATTTTGTTGTTAAAAAATCAATGGATTTATTCCCTGAAAAATGACTAAAATATGCATTTATTCAGATGCATGTGCAAAAAGATCATTTATTTTTCTTATTTTTAGTATTTTACTAAGAGCCGTTGTGCGTTGTTGCTGTGATCAGAGGGAAAGCACTCAGTAGACTCCATAAATATATCCTGAGACATTTTAATGCAGAATCTGCTGTACATTTAATGGTTTTGTAAGGAATGACCATTCAGTTTCAGTTTGCTGCTGAGCAGAGTGGTCGCAGTGGAAACATTCAGCTAACAGCGTTACATCCTCAGATCTTCCCTGGAAACGTCCCGTCTTCTCTCTGCCCGTCCCATTTCTCGACCTGAAGGGTCAAAGATCACAGGAAAACAATTAGAAGGATTTTCATCCACTCTGATGTTTACTGACATTTCCAGGTGAAATTCAGCAGATCTGACCAAATTCATGAAAATGCTCAAACAGTCTGTGTTCAGGAATGAAGTACTGTCTTTATTTTAAGTGAAAGTATTGAGTGTATTTACCCAGCCCATGGGGCACAGGGACTTGTAGACCCTCCTGTACCACTCACAGGGGGTGGTGTCTACTCCTTTAGCATTCAGAGCTTTCTGGCAGCGGTGATAGTCTGGAATCAGAGAAAATGAGGACAAATCCACATTTACACATTAAAAGTCACCCAGACAGAACCGGCCGACTTTAAAGCTGGACTTATTGCTTCATCAGGTTGTGCTGTGACCTTGAGGAGAATCCTTACCCAGGTAGTTGGACCAGCAGTTCCTCGTCTGGTTCTGGTTCGGGAATCGGGCATCAAAGGGAGCGGTTCGGTACTGCTCCAGTTTGGCCTTAATGTCCTCAGCCATCTTTAATAATAAAACAATCAATATCAATGAAAACTGCCTTATTGTTGTACCTTCATGTGGCCACCAGTAGTGACGTAGATACTTTACGTCGTCCTTTATGTGAACTGCATAAAGGAAAAAAGGCCCGGTTCTGTTCCTGAATGTTCGCACTGAAAGCCGGTTCTGTTCCTGAATGCTCGCACTGAAAGCCCGGTTCTGGTACCGCAGCGGATTATTTCCTCCTTCACGGAAAAAACACTAACAAACCGAAAGCTGCTGGTTCTTCGCCTCCGTGTATTGCGACTCGCTGCCGGAGGAATTTCCTCTCTGCTTCTTTTCCGCAGAAACAGGTTCGGCTTGTCGGTGTATTTTTTATTTTTATACAGTTGGCCTTCATTAAACCTCGTTTTAAACAGCCTGGAGAACAAACAATGTTCAACGCCGGCAGCTAAGGTGGTTCCCCGCCTGCAATCACCTCGGGCCGGTGTAAAAAGCCCGTTTAAACGCTGAGAGACGCCATGAAGGTGAAGATTACCTTTTTCGATGCGGCGAGAGCTCAGAGTCTTTACAGCGGGCGGCTCGGGGCGCGTGCTTCCTCACTGACGGGCAAAGAGCGCGAAGCGCGTGCGCTCCGGTTCGGAGAAACGTCTCCGTGCAGTCCTGTTCTGATGATATGGCGGACCGCTCAGGTCACATTGAAATGACAAACTGAGCGAGTCTGAAGTTCAGACTTCCTGTTCGCAGGTCTAGCTAAATGAACTAATTTTACTAAGTTTGTAAAAGGAAACCCGGAGAGCCTGAAGCCCTTATCAGGAGCAGGAGGAAGATTTTATTGTGTTTAAAGTAGTGTCTAATACAAAAACATTAAGTTGAAGAAAGCGAAAGAACGTTGTAATTACTGTTAATAATTAACAGAAATTGAGTTTTTAGGTAAAATCGTGTTTCGTTTTGGCATTCAGCCCACATATACTCATTATAATCAAAGGGGGAACAAACGGAGCTTCGCCTGATGACACGTCGTGCAGAAACTCCCGTGTTTTACTGGATGTTTTTGCGCGTAGGCAGGGCGCGGGCTGAGTCTAATTACTGGAGTCGTGTACACGCGCTCGCTGGGATGAGCAGATTGCCGGGATATTTTCCACACCGATGTCAGAATAAAGCAGAAAGTAAAAGTGGAGCAACGCCGCTGATACTGAACGCGTCACATCTGTTGGTTGTGTATTATTCTCACTATAGCGACGGAGCGCTTCCAAACAGCGCGCCGAGAGAGAGCGTCTACGTATGCACGTCAGTCTGTACGTGGTGACGCACTGTAAGCCGCGCAGGCGCTCTGTGTTCGGATCGAGAACCGGAGTTTTCTGTAGGACCTTCTATGGCTGCTGAGTCCTGTCTGGAAAGTTTCCATATTAAGATGTGAACCACAGAGCTGCTTCTATTTTTGATAATCGTTGAACTGACATTTTTAAATATTTCACATTACCCAAATATTTTTAGTTTAACAACTTTTGATGAAGTTAAGATGTTTCAACTGGCATGTCTCATTTCATAAAAATAAATCACAAAAACCAGATGCTCTGGGAGCAATTCAGAAATGTTCTGAAGTTTCATGTCTGAAGCTTATTGTACATACATAGGGGCATTATAGATAGAAAAATTGAAGACAATTCGAAATTTATCTCTTTTTTCTAATTTGAAAAATTTTGAAAAAAAAAATTGCTGGAAAATTTTTTTTTTACAAGAATCTTGGAAAGACTGAGATTAAAAATATATACATTTATATAATCATTATTGCAGACGGGTCAATAAAGAAAATATCTGAAACTGTTAAAAACTCAACAAAGGAAACATCCAATCATTTCTGAGCTGTCATGGAACCAATTATAATAAAAAAACAGCCACTTCCTGTCTTCTCTAGTTTCTGTTTCCTGTCAACGTTTTATCCCCTTAATTACAACCTGCTTGATATAAACACAGTGACAAAGCAATTCCACCAACAAGCAAATAGATATGTAATACATAAATATAAGGCATTTCTGTTAATTAATACATTAGTTTTTTATTTTTTGCTCTTTCAAACGTTTTTTTCCCCACAGAAAGTCCAGATTGCTCCTTTAGCTGATCTGGTTCTGGTGGTTCTGGTGTCTCTTCTCGTTAAAGAAACAAAAACACATTTCCACGTTCCAAACTAAAGTCTTTATTTTAAAAAGTAATTTATTTAATCCAAACATTTCATCAAATAAAATGTCAACTCCAAACGTTTTAATATATTAAAGCAAGAAAATCTACAACCAAGAGAGAGTTTCTGTTTTTGCTCGTTATGAGGAGGAAACAAGAAGCAGATCCAAAGAACCACAGAGTTATGTTCCATAAATGATTCATGCAGTTTCAGCTCCAGTCCTGCACATTTGAAAACTTCCAGCATCTTGGATTCAACACAAAACATTTATATCTAAACTGACAGCAAATCCACAACAGTAAGTATTTGTTAGTGTTGGTTTGGTTCTGTTCTGAACCAGAACCAGTCGCTCCATTTCCTGCTGTGTCGCAAAAATGTTTCCTTTAAGGCTTCAGCGGTTAAAACCAAAACACGACACAAAGATGCTTAAACGTGAAAACCGTCCAGCTTCGATCAGATCTGGTGCAGTAAATGCACCGTCCAGTTTCAGCAGGTTCCTGAACGCAGCAGCAGTTTTCAAGAGTTCTGATTGGACGCTGACAAACGGCCGCATCTGATTGGATGCTGATAAACGGCCACATCACCACAGAATGGACGGGAAAAAAAGGAACATCGAGAAAAACCCCTCAAACTTCTGGATTAATCTCAGAAATTTTCTAGAAAAAAAACTTGAAGATTTTAGCTGAAAAAGTGACATTTTCTAAAAAGCTAAAAAGTTTAATTTCAGACATTTATAAGTTTAAAAAGTGAAAAATGTTTCACTTTTGAAACTTAGAAATGTTCAGATTTGAGTTTTCTGCAGAAACATTTTGATTATTCAAATTCAGACATTTCCAACTTTCTTTCTAGAACATTTCTAAAGTTAATCTCAGAAATTTGTTCCTTTTTTCTGTCAAATGGAGACTTAAAGATGTAATGTAATGTTTTCCAGCATATTTTTAACGTTTCAAACTCAGAAATTTCCAAGTACTTTCTTCAAAATTTCTGGTCTAATAATTTTTTTTCAATCTCTAGTGGCTGTCATGCGTTGTCATAGTAACCTCATCTTCACCTGTCCAGGTGTCAGGAAGAATCTTTCCAGTTAAAGTAAAGCAGGAAGGACTTTCTTTGGCTTGTGAAAAAGTAAGAGCTTTGGTTTTGTAATGAGGAACAGTCGCAGCATGGCGGCCATGTTTGACCAGTTGGCGGCCATGTTTGACCAGTCGGCGGCCATGTTTGACCAGTTGGCGGCCATGTTTGACCAGTCGGCGGCCATGTTTCACCAGTCGCTGCTGAAGCGCAGTCGGTTGAATGCTTCCCGGACTTCGCCGTCGCTGGGCGTCTGCTGGCTGGTCCCGATGTGGCGGACGCTGCTTATTGGGACGTCCTGCTTCAGCTTCCTCTTGGTGAGAACCACGGCGCCGCCCGCCTCGCCCTCCTCCGGCCCTGTCAGCAGGAAGTAGGCGGCGTGGCGACCGCGCTCCATCAGAGTGGCTGGAAAAGACGGGAGAACGGTTCCAGAAAACGCTGCTCAACTTTCTCACTTTTTAACCCTCAGAGTATTTCAGTTGGATTTCAGGACCAACAGGAAGTTTGAAAGGACATGAGTCTCAGATTTCAAAATATTTTACAGCTACAATCTGAAAAGTGTTTGTATTTCTAGAAATTTTTCATCAGATATTTTTAGAGAATTATTGACTTTTAAAACTAAAAAAACATAAATCTCAAATTTCTGAGTTTCAAGTGAAACATTTTTGACTTGAAACTCAGAAATTTTCTGTATTTTTGTTAGAATTTTGTTCATTTTTTCTGTTAAATTCAGATTTAAAGACGTAACTTTAAGTAAAAAGAAATACAATTGATGTGATTTTCATGACCTCCATGTTGAATCCATCCCATAATGTGGTTGGGTTTCCTGGGCTTAGCCCCGCCCCCAGCATGATGCTGCCTCCGCCTGGTTTTACCTCTGAAGGCGACGATGCGCTCCACGCCGTGGCTGAGCTCCAGCAGGACGTTGGGGTAGAGCGGGTGCAGCATGTAGGAGCGCGGGGAACCGCCAGACGACTCCTGCACAGAGCAGAACCGGGCTGAGAGGAGGCTCCGGGCCGAGCGGCGGCTCCGGGCCGAGCGGCGGCTCCGGGCCGAGCAGTGGCTCCGGGCCGAGCAGTGGCCGACATCAGCAGAACCTACCGATGAGTTGGACCCGGACCGAATCAGGCCCCAGAACATAAAGACTGACACCGAGTTGGTGGTGTGGACGGCGTCGAGTCGGGCCGGGCCGGCGCCGGGCTGCAGCTGCTCCGCCCACAGCAGACTGCCGGTCCCTCCGTCCAAGATGCAGACCTGCAGGACAGACGGGCCTGGGGGTCCAAACGGGTCGACATGGGGGAGGAAGTTCTGATGATGAAGATGAACTCACCTTGGTGGAGTTTCTAACATCATCATCTTCAACTTCAACCACAAGATCAAGAACTTCGTCTCTGTTGAAGTGACCGAAGGACGGAAAGCTGGCGGAGGAAACAGAGAGAAGCATCAAGAGAGAGCAAGACAGACATAGATATATAGACATAGACGGGCCGTCGGACCCCCCGGTGGAGCTGGCGTTGAATCTCCATCGTCTCTTCAAGGAAAGTCCGTCCACTAGCGCCACCTCTCTTTGAGAAACAACCAGCAGGTCAGAGGAATCGTCCCAGTCTTTGGTCCTCAACAAACGTCTAGCCTCCGATCTGCAAATGGAGACATGAGACCCGAAAACCCTGATGCATGCTGGGTAACGCAGGCTGGCTCTTACAGGTAGATGGGCACGAGGCCCGTTGCGTCGCTGGCCGTTTTCTCCAAGTGTTTGTCCCGCTTCAGATCCTGACCCAGACCCGGTTTGGCTCTGGCTGCGATGTCCCAGAGAGGCATCCCGAACACGCCGGAGGCTGCGGGAACAAGCTCAGGTTAGCTTCACACCGCTAACTCTGCTGCTTCCAGCGACCAACAGCTGTACTACGATACGCTGCAGCAATGTCCAGCGAAAACGTCCAGGGGAAATGCAGCTCTTTGCTGCTTCTGGTTGAGAATTTGGGCCGACATCATCATCATCTGCATAGATACCAACTTTCCACCATTTTGTTCTGTTTCTGGATCCTGAACAGTCGGAAGTTTTGCTCTCTCCTTTTTCCTTTTGGAGAGCCACGAAGCGCAACCATGGCAACAAGATATTGTTTTTATAGCCGGAAGCAGCTGATTAGCATCTCAACTATGACCCTACACTCAGATATTTTCAGATTAATGTCAGAAATTTGAGTTAAAAAAAATTTAATAAAATTTCAAATGCCAAATTTTAGATTTTTAAAAATTTTTGGCATATCAAAGTAAATGAGGAGGATTAGCAAATGTAGCTAAAACGATTTGGTTCCATCCAGAACGTGTTAGCAGTTAGCATGTCGTCCTCAGACTAGAGAACAGGTCATACAGCAACAGTCTTCAGTCAGAGGCTTCTTAAGTTCACTGCATGACTGACTGCTGCTGGAGATAATCAACCACAATGACTCTGAATGATATGAAATATGACGACATTTAATTGATGTTTTTGATGAATAAAGTTTCTGAGTTTGAATTTCAAACTTTTAGAAAACTAGAGAATGAAACCCGCCTGTTGAGTCGATTTTAAAATAACTGATCACTTTTAAAATAGCCAAAAGGCAACACAGTAGTTTTTCAGAAATTTCCTCTAATGAAAATGTTTTCTTAGTTTCAGTCTTCGTTAGTTTTAGTCGCCACATTAACTCTGATCCGGGTCGGACGGGATTTGAGCTACCAACCTCTCTGCAGCAGCATGTAGTACGATCCTCCCATGGTGCGGTGCAGCAGGTGGCTCTGCGTGGCGCCGCCGTCGATGGTGACCTCCGACCCGATCCGATCCCCCTTCTGCCCAGAGAGCAGCACCAGCTGCGTCTGCGGGTTTGGACAGGAAGCGGTTAAATCCGACGGGTCGGATCAGAACCGCCGTGACGCAGCAGCTGGTCTACCTGTGTGCCGTTCAGCAGCAGCAGAACCACGTCGCCAACCTGGTCCCCGTCCAGATCCGGGACACTGAGGACGGGCAGGGAGACGGACAGAACCGAGGGCCGAGGCTGCTGCCAGGACACCACACCTGGAACCAGAACCGGGTCGTAACTAGTTACATTCACCAGAGTAACTTTCTAGGAAAACAAAAAAAACATTTTTTACTCCTTTTCACTTTTACTTGAATAATTTCATTATGAATTATTTCTTGTCTTACTTCAGTAAAATGAAAGACAAACATGTTTTAACCAGCAGAAACAGTTTCTGTTAAAACTTAATTCATTTTTAATAACAAAAAAAAAATCTGGAAACATTTTCTTTTGCCTGATTTTGTTATTTTTGATGTTTATATCCAGTATTGTCCTTTTCATTCTTAAGATAACAAAATTTCCACTTAACTTCATATTTTTCCATCTGATGATGAAATTTTTAAATGTTAAATAATGATAATTTGATCAGTTACTCAGTATGTTTTATTTCATATGTAATGGTTTTGTCTGAAGACAGTCAGGCTTCACTGTGTCGGTTAATATTAATATTTACAGAATAAAATCGTAATGTTACAAAAAGAAGGTAATAATTTTATGACAACTCAAATATAGAATAACAAAAATGAAAATGAGGATTGTTGTACTTTTACAGATCAGATAATATTTCATCTTTTAACTCATCAGCATCAAATTTTTATCAGGATTTTGAAATGAGATCAACAGATTCTGATTCCTCAGAGCTTCTCATTAAAACAGCTTAAAAATGGAAAACTATGTAGATTTTTCTTCAGTTTTAGCTTCATCACTGCTCTGACTGTGATGTTCTGATTTTCAGTCTGAATACTCCAGATAATGATTAATCGATTAATTTATGGTTATTGTCATAGTAATTTAAGCCTCACTCCTAATTTCAGAACATGATCTACAGATCAAGGACGGTAAAGTTTTCTTCTCTGGTAGCTTGGCTCACCGTTGTGTTTGTTGACGGCGGTCAGGTTGTCAGAATGGGACAGCAGGCAGTGCCAGGATGAACTGGTCCCAGTCTGCAGGCCGCACTGGGCCCAGTGCAGCTCGCCCCCCAGCGGCCGCTCCCACAGCGTCTCTCCTTTGGTCCCGTCCAGCGCCAGCAGGAACAGACACGGCGAAGTCAGGCCTGGAGACAGACTGAGAATCAAACTACCAACCTCAGCCGCAGGGAAACGGCGACCGAACGCGACTCCACCTGCGTCAGAACACGACTTGTTTGGAGAACTTTCTGGGCTTCTGATGACGATCAGGACGTCCATCACCTTGTCGCTGTTGGCGTGTTCAACAGCCAGGAAGTTGTAGGTCACTGTGAGAGGAGAGACGGCGCTTAGAGTCCAGAGCTCCAGCGATCAATCAGTTATTGAATCCTTCACTAATTTAGTAATCGATGAAAGGCTGTCTGCTGAAAGAACACATTCAGATCAGTAAAGGAGCCAAAGCTGCACAAAATACAAACATTTTGCTTTTAAGATAAAACAAAAATCAAACCAGAAAATAATGTCTGAACTTCTCAGTTTTAGCTAAAAAAATGATATTTTCTCCATTTATCATTCAGTTAATCCATGAAATAATCCCCATGTCAGCCATACGCTGTGCTGATGCGCAGCAGGCCTGAACTTCTGCTGCCAAACCTTCACTGCTGCGTTTCAGGAAGTAAAATGTTCATTTCCTGATGTAAGAAGGGAAATATATTTCTATATTCTAATGCATTTCTAATATTGTATGAAAAACATATAATATAAAGTAGAAAAAATAGAATGTGGCAATTTATAAATCTAATTAATTGTCTGTGTGATGAATTGTCATTATAATCAATTAATTGTTACATCAATTAACCATCAGAATAATCAATTAATGACTAATTAATCGTCTGACTAATCGATCATCAGATGAATTAATCATAACAGTCTAGAATAGCTGATTAGAATAATCTGCCTGCCTGCGTCGGAGAAGTCTCGGCTCCAGTTCAGGTGGTACTGCGGCCGCTCTGGGCAGGGGATGACGAAGGAGAAGGCGAAGACGACGGTGAGGCAGAGGAAGAGCGAGAGGAAGAACACCGCCGTCCTCCAGTGGCTCATCCTGGACAATCCCACCTTGCAGCTCTTCTGCTGCAGCTGCGCCGCGGCCGCGGCCGCCTCCGGCCCGTCTCCTGCCGATTTCAGAGGGGAGTCCTCGGTGTCCTGCTCTGCTGTCTCCATGGCAACGCCTTCACAGCATCGCCGGCCTGTTGAGCTGAAACAGGAAGTGGCGTGAGAACCAGGAGGAAACGCTCAAACTGAGCTTTTTGAAAACATGGTGGTGGCAGCATCATGTCAGGGGAAGATGGATGGATGTCAAGAAAACCTGTTTGAGATCGTTATGGGATGGGATAGGTCAAAGGTCAACAACCTTTAAAACCCTAACTTTCAGTTTAACTAAACTGTTATTTCTGAACAGCAACATGGCTGAGATTATTATGTTTTATACAAAAATAATGTACCCAGAAATAAGGAATATTCTTTTGTGAAAATATTATAAATATATTACATTAAAAACATTAAAAAGCTGAAGAAGAACTGCTAACGCTAGAATGATTTACTTGTTATAGATTTCTTAAACGAGCTGATGAAGAAGCTGGTTCTGGGGAATAATCAAGAAAATTATGATAATCATCTTCACAGGACTGTCTTCATGGAGTATCTTCAGTCAGAGGCTTCTAATGGGTCTCTGTAATACAGACCGCTACAGGAGTTACTTTCCAGCCCACAGCTATAAGCTAGAATGGCCTAGTTGAAGTCCAGACATAAATCCAAGTGAGAAGCTGTGTGGTGAGGATCACAGATGATTTTCCTCGTGTTTATCAGTTTGTTGTTTTAAAGAGACAGACTCCGGTTCTCTTTGCTGCATCATCCTCTGCGGTTCGGAGCCCATTCAGACGTGCCAGAACTGGTTCCAGAACCAGATGCGCCCAAAAACAAAACGCCCAGCAGAACCTGGCGTTCAGAACCAGAACAACCCGCCCAGTCGGTCCCGGTGCCTCGGCTCATTTCTGCCAGTTAAACCCGGGCAGCTTCAAACCCTCACAACAACAAAATCTAATCAGTTTCAATAAAATGATTTGGTTTTACTGGGCAGATAAGTTCATGAAATTAGATCAAAAACTGGTGAAGCTACTTTTCCAAAACAAGTTGTTCAGTAAATGCTAACAGCAGCAAGATCGATATCTTTGCTACAAACACGTATTATTTCAGTTAAAACAATAAAAAGCGGAATTAAAAGAAGAAGTTTTTCTTACGTTAACTTTCAACCGATCTTCGTCGGTCACTGATTCTGGTTCCGGTTCTGCTGCTGCCCAGATCTGCGCGAACTAATCAGAGATCAGCAGAACGTCAATGTTTTTTTCACCTTCACTTTGTCTGACAGGTGTTATTGATGGAAATATTTATACGTTTTACCAACAAAATTTGTATAAAACAATGATAACACCGATTTTCTACGACAATCTCATCTAAAATTAAATGTATCCTTTAAAAAAAAACCTGTCGGAGTGTGACGGTCTGCAACCTGACAGTCTAAATTCAGGGATTAAATTTACCGAGGAACTCGCGTTAGGGCGTTGTGATTGGTTGATCTAGATCTGTAGCGCCATTGAAGTTACTGCGTCATTTCCGTAATTTTAAACGGAAACTGGTCAGTTCGCGACGTAAAGAAAATCAGTTAGCGGTGATGGTTGGGGAAAAAAACGGTTCATCCTGGTAAACAAATAGAAGAGCTAGTTCAGTTGTTCGGTTGTCGACGGAGTCGCCGTAGACCATGTCCGCCCAGGCTCAGATGAGAGCGCTGCTCGACCAGCTGATGGGAACAGCGAGGGATGGTGAGTAGCTGTGGGAGCTAACGGAGCTAGCCAAGATGGAGGCTCTGCTGAGGCTGGCTTGTGTTGGCGAGTGGTGGACAGACCTGCTTGAATGGATGTACCACAGAGCGCTGCTTCTAAACACAAGAAAACTGCTTCCAGGCCTTCAAATGAGTTCTAAATGTAGCGCTTACTGTATCCATCCGCCGTATGTAGTTTAAATTGACATAAATACGTGCATTTTATCCTGCCTCGAATGTGGGCTAAGTTAGCTCCAGAGTTAGCTCCAGCTCGTCTGGTGTTTATTGTGGAGTTAGGAAAGCTGCCGGCGCCATACTGCCACGCGCTGGACCGAGTCCAACCAACACACCGGATTACGCTTATAACGGAATAACTAACTCCTAATTACGGCTCTTAATTTTTAATACTTAGTTCCATTTCTGCCCCACGTTGGCTTTAAGTGCTAATTTGATTTAGCTTCTGTGGACTTAAATTCGCTTTCAAAGTATCAGGCAAACATACGCATTTTAATCGATGCAGTAGTTCATTAAATTAATATTTATTATATATGATTAATAACAATGACTTCGCTAACATCAGATGATTACGTGTTTAAGGTGCCTTGCATCAGTATTGAAGTCATAAAATTTAAATATCTGGAAAGTGTGGCATGCATCTTTAATATGGTGCCTTTTAGATTATGTTTATTGGAACCTAATTCCCATAATTCAAATAATCATTCAATGGAAGTATAAACTACTGGGTCAAGTAGTTTTTTATGTAATGACTTGAATTTTCACAATATAGTGATTGATACTAAAAAATACCATTGACAGATATATTAGATATATAGTTTTTCAAGTTGGAAATTGCATATTTTAATTTTCAACAAATTCTAGCATCACAAAATGTTTCAGTTCTATATTTAAGCACTTTCTAGACCTCTTTTAGTGGTAATGTATTTATTATATTTCGTGTACCTTTTAAGGATTATTTTAATGTTGTGTGGATATGAATTAATGTGAGCTACAGACAGACTATCTCAATTTCCCTATGGGATTAATAAAGTTTTTCTATTCTATTTATATTGAAACCTTAAAACAGAAATAAGTTGGAATTCTTTAGAAATGACAAATTTGCATACAAATTCTTATTAGGTTATTATTATTTAATAATTATTTTAAACTAAAAGTCATGTAACATTCGTCTCATTTATCTGGCCTGGGAGCAAATATGGCTGCTGGGTTTGTAAAGACTGCAGAAAACTGTAGTGGCGCCATCATGCTGCGGGTCCAAACTCCGTACAAAACTGTGGAGCTTCAAAGTTCAGGAGAGCCACAAAGAAGTTTTTGTTTTTTTTTTTTTTGTTTTTTTTTTTACTTTTTAATTGTTTTTGTTCTATGTTGAATAAACTAAACATCCAATATTTAAATGAATTAAATAAAAGTTTCTGTTGAAGGAACTGAATGTTTAAATCACATGGATCATAGATGACGCATACATGGAGATGGTTGATCTGTACATGTGTCTGTTTCTTCAGCCCAGTTTAATAAATGTATCTGATTTTGCTGTGAATCGCTGAATGTTTGATCTTCATCTAAACTAAAGTCAAAGGAAATTTTGTGCTTAATTAATAGAGAAACTCTCTGGTTTGCACCTAAAAATGTTTTTTTTTTTTCCATGAAAAATTGAATTTGATGTTCAGATGGCCGACCTTGACCTGACTTGAACCTTGACTCTGGAGCTGCAGTCAGGGGCCGCACAAAGTCAACTTCAGGGCCACAGATGGCCCCGGGCCGCACTTTGTACATCCCTGCCTTAGATCAAATCAAAACTTGTCAATTACAAATGTGAAAAGACTCAATACTTTTGGAGGCACTGAAAGCATTTAATCATTTATCAGCCCTGTCACCATAACTAATGTTAAATGATCAATCGTCCAGAATTTATTGCGATAAACGATAATATTGTTGTTGTGAGATCTTTTTCCAGTAATGTAATAATACAAGATCACATTCTCAAACTTTAAATTGTGATGAACATTTAACTGGAAGACATTTTGAATATCTAAAAAAAACAAAACGATAAATGAAATGAATTCAGAAAAATTATCCTTCAAAATAAGAGACCAAATCACCAGACTAAAGACTTTTATTATCCAGTTTTTGGTAGAAAAATGATGCAAATAGAAATGATTGGGTTTGTCTGGCGGTTTTCAGGTTTATTTTGTCGCGTTGTTTTGTGGCCTCTGAAGCGCTGGCGGTTCCATCTGTTCAGTCAGAGCGGGTCTGTGTGGTGTGCGTGTGTGATCATATTCATTTCTGATTCTTCCCATACATGTGTTGCATACAAACTGAACAATTGTGGCCCCTTTATTTTATTCATTAAGGTTCAGTGTATCATTGCCAGCCTACATCAATCTGCAAGGGAGTTGCAGAAAAGCCTCATGTTCATCGAGCCGTGAGTCACACATGATTTTTAAAGCTGTTATGATCAATATCCAAACAATTTCTCTGCCTTCCGGAGTTTATTGTAGCTTTTTATTTAAATATTCGTATAATTCCTCAGTGGCACATCAGTTACCTTCAGCTAACACGTCTAGTTGCGTTGTTTCCATACGAGCCGACTGGCTGCAACGCCTTTCCACGGCAGATTAGAGATTAGCAATCCACTCGTTTACAATCTGACTTGTGTATGACTCCCAACTTCTTACTGCAGGTTTGGGCCAGAAATCTGTTCCCATTTAAACTTTTCAGCAGCGGGTTTAAAATTCTGCAGCTGAGGTGTTGAAGATGCAGAAGGGTACAGTATGTGGTGCAGATCGCAGTGTGTATAACCGCATTTCTTTCCCTTGGATTCTTTTTTTAAGTGTTTTATTGTTATGAAAGGCTTGGCTGGAGATTTTTATCAGTGATTTTTTTTTTTGTCTATTCATGTTTTTTTCTGTCCAGGAAAGTATTAAAACATAATTTATACTTTCAGTTAGAAGTAAATCTCATTTGACTGCTACCAGCTGGAGACGCACCGATCCACGTTTTCACTATCAGTGTCAATGTCTGAGGTTTAGCACCGATCCGATACAGAAAAACAGCTGGATGTACTTACACACACACACGCTGAATTACAAATGTATTTACGAACTCTGCTCTTAAACATGTAGAAACAAAACAACTTCAATTTGTTCTCTCAGTACAGTTTGAATTCAAACAGCCAAATCAGACAAAAACAAAATATTAAATATAAACCATCAACAAACTGTCAGAAAAGTTCATAAAGTTTATCAGATATTAATATCATGTAAAGTTGGTAGAAATAGCCTGAATAGATTGAGCCCATTGCCACTGATATTTTTTCGGATATTGGCACCGATACAGATATTGATACTGGGTCGGTGTGTCTCTGCGTCCAGCAGCATTGTGGGCCTTTAACAGGATTTATTGATTCTTTGGGAAGGTAAGAATCAGACATACAGCAGTAAGATCTACATGTTTAACGTCTATGTTTACTGTGATTAACATAGAGACAGATGTGAGTCCAGTTCTCTTAAAGGGAAGGTTTGTACCTGACAGCTGCAGAAAACGTTAGCGTACCCTGACTCTTCCTCCTCCTCTTCCTCACTCTTCCTCTCTTGTTTCAGGCGACGAGACGCGGCAGAGGGTCAAGTTCACCGACGAGCGAGTCTGCAAGAGTCACCTGCTCAACTGCTGCCCGCACGACATCCTGTCTGGAACGGTGGGTCCAAACACGCCCGTCACCGTGGTGGGTCCAAACACGCCCGTCACCGTGGTGGGTCCAAACACGCCCGTCACCTTGGTGGGTCCAAACACGCCCGTCACCGTGGTGGGTCCAAACACGCCCGTCACCATGGTGGGTCCAAACACGCCCGTCACCATGGTGGGTCCAAACACGCCCGTCACCATGGTGGGTCCAAACACGCCCGTCACCATGGTGGGTCCAAACACGCCCGTCACCATGGTGGGTCCAAACACGCCCGTCACCATGGTGGGTCCAAACACGCCCGTCACCATGGTGGGTCCAAACACGCCCGTCACCATGGTGGGTCCAAACACGCCCGTCACCTTGGTGGGTCCAAACACGCCCGTCACCATGGTGGGTCCAAACACGCCCGTCACCTTGGTGGGTCCAAACACGCCCTTCACCATGGTGGGTCCAAACACGCCCGTCACCATGGTGGGTCCAAACACGCCCGTCACAGTGGTGGGTCCAAACACGCCCGTCACCTTGGTGGGTCCAAACACGCCCGTCACCATGGTGGGTCCAAACACGCCCTTCACCTTGGTGGGTCCAAAACACGCCCGTCACCTTGGTGGGTCCAAACACGCCCTTCACCTTGGTGGGTCCAAACACGCCCGTCACCATGGTGGGTCCAAACACGCCCGTCACAGTGGTGGGTCCAAACACGCCCGTCACCATGGTGGGTCCAAACACGCCCGTCACAGTGGTGGGTCCAAACACGCCCGTCACCTTGGTGGGTCCAAACACGCCCTTCACCTTGGTGGGTCCAAACA